AGCCTTCGTTGCGTATCGCGCCGACGAAATGACGAGAAATTTCTGGAAGGTGGCGCGGAATGTATTTAATCGAGCGGCCGAGACGAGAAAGCAGGAGAAGACGGAAAGTTAGCGCCGGAGCGCGTAGGAATTCCGCCGTGTAGTCGGCGAAGGTTCTGCCCGTAGTGACAGAACAGGAGAAGACGGAAGTGAGCGCCAGAGTGCGTAGAGATTCTGCCGTGTAGTCGGCGAAGTTTTGGTCCGTAGGGACAGCTCGAGCTACAGGCAAGAGCGTGGGTTTACCGCTATCGAGCGAAGACGCGGGCAACAGCTGCGTGTGTGAAGCCGACGGATTTCCGGCGAAGAAGTTTGAAGCTTGGAGAGTGGCCATTTGAGGACGCGAGGTTTCCTGGAAGAGAAACTTCGAGAACTACGGAACGACAACAACGCTGGACTTTGAGTGAGTGATTCTCGGAAGAGTATCATTCAGACTTTTGTTCCAAGGACTTTGGACTGAATAGGTTTTCTATCTCTTTAGTCCTTAAGTGTCTTGGTTGTTCAATGCATGCGACTGCATTGTAGTGCGTATTGTTGTCTGTGTCCGTTGTTTTGAGTGTGGCTGATTGAACTGTGTAGTACGTTGTCTGATTGGTGACGTATTGTATGTAACTATTGTGGAGTGTGCATTCTTGTGTATTGTTTTCGATCTGCCATTTTTGAGAATATAATATTTGTTTTGTTTATCAACTCTCGACTCTGACTTGTTCTTTGGGCCACAGCCGGCGTCCGCTGGCGCACCAATAAGGACCACTTCTAAATTGTCCACGCTTTCGTGGTGCGGTTCGGGGGGCCGATACTTCGGCTCTTGGAACTAGCCCGGCGATCGCCTCCCTAATAAACGGGACAGGTGTGACACAAGCCTATATGTATACCGCTAATTAGGGCATAAAATATAAACTTTTTCGCGAGGCTTTTCTCTTTCTCACTTATTATAAATATATTTAAATTATGTTGATGAAATAGGTGCCTGTAGTTTTCCGGCTGTAACATAATAATAAAACAAAGATTCCCCTTGAAGAATGCTACATTAAGTTTGTCGCTGACATTTCGGTGAAAGCTTCGCCTTTTTTAAAACAGGTGCATTTATTCGTTTCACTATTGCGGGGACGCGTATATATAATCATTCCTAAACATGATTATATTTCTCGTAAAGAAATGTGGGGCTTTGGCCGAAACGTCGGCACTCTCGAATGTCCAGAAAAATAAGTTATGACACTGTACAAAGTATACGTATCCTCTGACAATCCCGAACAGTTACATCCCGAACAGTTACATCCCGAACAGTTACATACCGAACAGTTACATCCCGAACAGTTACACCCCGAACAGTTACATTCAGAACAGTTACATCCCGAACAGTTACATAATAAAGAAAACCAAAGAAATTTCTCTGCGGCTGCCTTATTGAAAAGCCCTGACTTCTGTTTCAAAGATTGGAGCATTTTTTAAAGTGTACAAAACCCACGTCGCTATTCCTGGGTAAGCTGAGAGAGAGATGAAAATTCAGACTCCTTAAATGGAGCGAGTTTCTGTGCACCACTTCGTTCAAGCCGGTTTGGTCTTCGCCATAGATTCATGGCGGCGATCTGCATTTCGGACACGTTCTCCAGTCAGCTGCGATAATCTCTCCCTCATAGAGCCAAAGTTATTTGTGCCGCTTGTTTCTCTCTCTCCTTCTCCTGTTTAGAGCCTCTAACAGCTTCGAAATGCGACAAGGCAACGAGAGGAAAATGGCAAATAAAGGAAGACATCAACGATAGGAACGCAGCCTAAATTAAATTAAATGACGGCGCGTCTCAGCTCCGGCACAATGAGAAACAGTGCCGAGTTTGTTGCATCAGTTTCAGCTGGGGTGGTAGTGATTAGAATGAAGAGGAAAAAGGCACCTAATTTCTGTCTGCCTTCAGGCGACACGGCGCAGTGCCTTATAGGGGTGGGGGGAAGGAGGGATAAAAAGAATAGAAGGAAAGTAGAAGCAGAAGAAGACAGCCAACGAGAGGAAAAAAGAAGGAGATAGGAAAGTGGGGATCCGGTCGAAGCAGTCCAAGGGCGGGGTGCCACAATGCGAGAGCTACACGGCGTCAGGAGACCGCGGAGGGCGAACCAGTCGGCGGGAGCTACGCTGAAGTCGGAGATCGCGAGGGCACAACCGTCCAGCTTGAAATCCTGCGAGCGAATCAGTTTCAGCTGCAGCGTACATACAGGGCTCTGTTGTCAATGTTGGGCTTTACTCCTTCACCCTCTCCACGCTCCCTTCCGGCTCTTCTCTCTTTAAATGTTGCGAAACAAGGCAGTTCGCAATGAACATCGGAAACAGCAACAAACTCGGGAATGCTTTAGGAGGAGTTGAGTTTAGAAACTCATTAACCGCGATGTAAATGGCAAGACCTCACCGTCACGATCTGTTTTGGCCTTGCCATCCTCCACTTACGCAAGAGTAATAGGATAGGTTTAACGAAACTGATGATGGGAGGAGAATTTCGGTGACACGCAATGGTGGACTTCTGTCCACTAGGAGTCGCAAAACTCAGCATTGGAGTGCGGAATGCGACAAAAAAGTATACAGGAATAAGAGCACTACACAGAATGCTCCTGGTGTAAACTCGAAACTACATAATGCGAGTTGTACTCAAGACGAAATAAGAAAAACTTGGCTGCCGCATTTAGTTGCAGCCCGCGTCGCCAGATGGGCTTGTCACCTGTTATCATATAGTGTTTGCTGTAGCTGTTGTATTCTTTTCTTCCTCCCTTTATATTTTTTTGGGAGCACTCGTCTTTCTACGTTTTTCCTTCACAAAATTACTAAACAGCCTTTTAACAACAGTCGAGTACGCGTTGAAGCTGGATGAACAAGGAACACTGTCAAGTGCCCGTAAGTGAAGATGTGTGCGCACGAATTCGATTGCGAGAAACACGATGCAAACAACGACGGGCTGAGGACAGCGCAAAAAATTGATGACTCTCTCTTTCTAGCACGCACGCACGCACGCACACACGCGAATAAAAGTAGGTTTGTACTGCTGCCTTCGAATTCGAGAGCCCCGTTGCTCGCCTTTTCTTATATTGAGTTTCCTTATTACCACGTATTATTTTGGCGCTCTAGTTTTTAACGCAGACGTCGTATAGTATTATCCTGTCATCGCTCTCATTCATTGTTTTTGTCTTCAATCATTCAATTTTTATTTTTTTCTGGCGGGATTTCAAGACAGAGGAAGGCGTAAAGGAAAGCCGTGTTTGTTTTCTCAGATACCCTGACTGCTACGCTGACGCTGGACAAGCATGAGCGAGGACATGGGCTTTTCACGAAACCCCTTCCCCAGCACTTCAACGACACTTTCAGCCACCAACAACTCGCGCGTAATACAAAAAAACAGGATACACCGCAGCGTGCCTGCCAGCGAGTTTCGCGAGAGCGCACGCATTCTTCTCACCAAATGAGGCGGCGGAACAGTGGAAGGCTGATTTTGAACACGCGCCCGAAGCCTTGTTCTTTCCTTAAATAACATGTTTTTTTTTATTTAGGTAGTTCTTGGGCTGTTTGATTTTCCTTGCGGTGAAATCTTGTTTCAAAGAAAAAGAGCACAGAATGACAGATTAACAGGTTAATAAAGTAGGAATGCCATAGTTTCTCATTGTTATTGAAGTTTCACAATAGCTGGACCCAATTTTCTTTTATTTACCCTTCATATAAAGTAGATTGGTGGAAAACTAATGACTCTCAGGTCATGCATGCGCGTACAAAAACTTTGCGCTGTGTTCCTTACTTCTTCAAGGACTTACGTGCATGACAATTTTTTATAGGCTGCCAGGTTAGCCCTGTTTGTAAGTTGCAGCGAAGTACAGGAAGTAAACGAATTACCGATAAGTTTCGCGATAGCACAAAATTTTAAATATTTTTTTTTTCTTTTTACACTTCAGTGGGTACGGCACCACCTCTGCGCAAAGCTACAATTTTCTTTTCGTCGCAATAAACCACATGTTTTCGTGACTAGCGAAATATAACTCAAGAACGAGCGTCTATTCTATAACTAAAGCAGGGTATGGGAGCGTGCCAGATGGTTTTTGGTCATGGTAGATCTTGAGCTCAAAACGTAGCACAATGCGGAGAAGGCGGAAATGAGGACAAGCGTTAACTTCGAGCTATCTGTCATTACGCCAACACAGAGTTCAATATATCTGTCACATTAGATCACAAGTCCCTCCGTTAAAGCACAGGTGAAAAAACAAAGAAAAAACTTTAAGAAAAGCCGTGAAACTACGCAGGAGCAACACGTGCAGAAGCTGCGTCAGCAAGCCATCCATCGCACAAACAAAAAAGAACCAGATTACTTAGTTACACCGACAGCCCTGTTTCTGTATATTTTCTCAGCATATTTTAGTTATTTTTCACCATTCTGCTATGAGTGATATCGATGTGATTCAATGTGACAGGTACATATTTGTGTGCTGTTTTAATAAATAATAGTTGGAAGTTAGTGCTTGTCTTCGTCGCTGCCATTATCTCACTTTGCACAAGGCTCACTACGCACGCTAATAGACAAGCTTATGTTCCCTCGAGTTACACGGGTGAGCTATCACCTAATATTTCGGTCACTCCCTAAACTATGGCGTGGATAACAAAAAAAAATCCACCGTGTAACATTCCAGGCGTCCAACTTTGGGCCACAAAGAAAGTCAGGGAAACGGTTGACGTCCATGCATAGTCTGGCAGCCTATCTCCCTTGTACGTGATTTATGGTTCAGTTGTTGTTTTTCTTCCTCTTCTTCTTGGCAAAGAATATGTAGCGCATGAATTAATGCGAGAGAAAACAATTATGCTGTCATTGAAATTGCTGATAGCTGAGGTGTTCCAATGCGTCTGACTGTAGCCACGCTGAACCGCGCTTGCGTGCGAATCGCCCATACTCGTCCTTTGTCTCTCCTGTTTGCCTACATATCGGCAGAAGGGAGCGCTATCTTACCTGTGACGATGAGCCGGCCTGGGAGAGAATTCCTGGTGGATTCCCCCGTGAGCTTGTCCCTCGTTTGGCAGCGGTAGCTCCGGTAGGAGAAGCTCTTGTCTACGTCCCGAATGTAGAGCTCACCTTCGGGGAACATGTGGTACTTGGAGGCAGCTGGAAATGACAACCGCAAATGAAGGATCAAATACAGAAACATGCTCAATTTATGTGAGGTGAACATGTGCGAAGAGGTGGTAGGTAATAAATGCACCTGACATACCCATGTTGACGCCACAAATAGATCGGCATTTATTCTTATTTTGACATATCTTGGGTATTAGAGTAATACTTAGCACAATGAAACACAAAGACAAGTACGGAGGACACAAGATAAGTGATAAGCTGAACTCCCTCTCATCCGTGTGTTTACCTAATATTACATAATGTCTTACCAACAAGGCTGCGTTTGTCCACATTGGATAATTGTTCTAAAAAACATAAAACTATTGAACTGGAAGCTCTATTTTTTTTGGGGTGTCTCAGTCAGATGAAACCAAGGAAAGATGAGCAGTATTTGCTCTTTTTAGAGCGTCATGAGGCAACAGGTAAGAAAATCTCAAATAAATATTTAGAAAAAAAGCTGCTTACCACTGCTGGGAGTCGAACCAACAACATCCTCATCCCACCCTTAGAGCTGCATACCATTAGATGTGCCGTTAATGTGCCAGCCACCCTTGCCCGCTAACTTTCGAGAGTATTTGTGTATGAGAATATAGCAGATTTAATTACGCGAGTGTTCGCGTGAGTTACGGCCACAACACTTGACGAAGACAGACGGGAAGAGATTGGGTCTCACACGATGATAGTACTTATGTGGGCCTTACAGTTTGTAAGAGTGCAGGTAATGGTGTAAACATGTTTTTTTTATTCTTTTTAACTTACACGTAACATCAACGTTAACTGGTTTTGATGAAAATGCTTGTTTTCACAAAATCCTCCTGGCTCGTCTGCTGAGCGTAATCTCTGCAAAAATTATCATAAAAACTGGCTGAAGTGCTCTGGGCAATTATTTTTCTGAAAGCAGAGATGAAAAAAACACACCTCAGTACTAGTTGCATAAGCACAACCTTTATATAGCGCATCTTACGCAAAGAATGCGACATACTCCGTAAGAAACATGCATTTTGCTTTCACCGCAGCAGTAATCTCATGCAAGTTGTTGGTGCACGAATTAATTTCGTGGATATTATAAGTCGTGGTGTCGTCATTCCTTGAGGAACAATATAATAAACAAGCTCGTTGTATTCTTCTGTTTCTCTTCAACATGACTGCTAATTCGCGAACACAAACAGGAAATGATTAGTGGTATTGGTATAATATCCAGCTCAGGAAAAACTTTTTTTTTGTGAGGCATGTATAGTTTTATCAAGGTAGATGAAAGAAAGCTTCCACGTTTCAGGATAGTAACCAGAAGCACGAACTGACACTACTCAAATCAACTATGCAAAATGATTTTAGTTTGATCGCAACACGTCCAGCGAAACGCGACCACCAGTTTCTATGAAAACAGCATCGAATGCGTTATCAAACGGTCACAGGTTCGGTCTTTGGTGGTGGCACGTTATCTTTTCGTCGAGTTTCATTTCTTCACACTTGCATTGAAATTATTCCCTATACCGCCCCCTTTACTTTCCTTGTCATTATTGTCGATTAGTTCTCATTTACATTGTGTCTAGCAAGAGAAAGTGAGTCCTTAAATTTACAATTGCTTCCTTCATAAAAAAGCTACGTGGCATAAACGTCCTCTGCAAGGCCTATAGAGAACATCTGATACATATACACAGAAGTAATCTAAAAGGGCAAAAAACATTCAAAATCGTCATGGTATCGACATTAGACTTCTTATTCAGCGATCGACGCTGCTGATTCCAACAGACGTTCATTAATCTGATATGGAGTCATAGCTGTTTAATGCTTGCTTAACTTGTGTAAGAAGTACCAGAAGAATCACGCAAGCAGCGAACTAGTAATCGCATAAGATTTTTTATTATTTCGTGTGTGGTCATTGCAAGGAGATATGTCTAGGGTAGAACTGAAAATAGGGAAACATAAACTTTGGTACAATATTAATTAAACGCTGTCACCCATGTAAGCTGCAAATCATAAACATATTGAAATCGGGCATATAGAGATCTTTGGTCCGCGTACTTTTGCTGCTGAAAATAGGCAACAATCTAAAGCGGCGCAACAACGGACACTTTTTTCTTTATTTTCGCAAGAGGGTGATGCCTCAATATAAGTCACGCGTGTAGGCACCTCTTAATTTAGAAAGTTGGCCTGTATGCTTAGGTCCCTGCCGCAAGTGATACAACATCGTTTTGCTAAAGGCAGCAGCATTGAGAAACAAAAGCAGTGAAATGCTGAATGAACCACAACTTAATGGAGCTCCCCTACAGAACCGCGGGGTTAAGCGATGCCTGGGCCATATTAATCGGGGAACGCCATTGTTTATTCAGTCACGCAATCACATAGAATGACTTGGCCAACGCCGCATACACGCAGTGTTGACACGATCAAAAAAGGGAGAACCCTGATCGCGTAAATACGAAGGAGGCTCGATGAAAAAGAAGTCAGAAGCATGAGCTAGTTACATCTTTTTTTTTTTCTCTGGCGTAGAAAGCTTGGGATATTTAGACTGCTTGTTTTTCCACAGGTCTCGTATCTGAGATTCAGCACAAAGGGATGATAGATAATCACAAAGCTAATCTTGCATGCTCATCGCTACGAGGTGAAAAACGATTCTAAGCAGCGTCTGTATAATTTCCTTCATGACTAGCTGTAACCTGGTATTTTGCGGGAGTACCCCATGTAACTAGACACCAGACTAAAATCTCGTACTATAACCAAATAGCTAGCTACTAGGTTATGTTACGCGATTTTAGTCTCGTATATAGTTACGTGATTTATAGCAGGAACATTCAAAATTACTAGCTGTCAGGTGATTATGCGTGATTCTTACTCACTTTACTGGTTGTTGGGTAATGTTGCAATAATTTTAGTAACGGGACTAGTTGTCAGGTAGTGTTACATCATGATGCTAGGTTATTTTAGTCACGTGTCCGATTACGTGATTTTGCCTAAGATTTAGTCTACTTCGATGCACTAAAACATGAAGACCTAAACGATGAAACACAAGCCTTTCAAATGTGCCCCTGAAGTGTGAATTCGACACTTGAAGTGCACTTCCCGGCGTGACGAAAAGCTTAAGGAGCACCACGCCTTAATGTTTAAAATGACTAGACTGAGCACACTTGACCCGTTTTGTTGTTGTTTTTTTAGTGACGAAGGGGAAGTGCTAGCACACAAACCAGAATCGTACCCTAAACTGTTGCACGCTCCTTACGGGTGGATGTACACACGCACTTGCGAGCACGCACATTAGGCGCTGTGGAATTAGTGAACGCAGCTGGGCATGGGAACGGAACGGGAACCGAAGGCAAACACCAAATGATGCAAGAGGAAGACGTGGCCCGAACGGAATGGGCACAAAAGCGGAAGGGTTACGCAAGCGGAAGACCCAGAGCACGACAAAAAGCAACCTCGGAAACGATGGAGCGAGGAAATAAAAAGTTTGGAAATGGTCGAGTGAGAGAAACATGTTGGTTATAGAGGGTAGAGAAAAAAAACAAACAGAAGGATGCAGCCAGCTGTATTTACGCTCGAATGCTCCGGCTCGGGCGCTTAAATTAATTTTGAGCCACCCCGTTGTTTTCGTTTCTTTCTAGGACCTCCATTTTCTCTCTTCCTCTTCTGGCTTTGTTCAACCTATCGTGATTTTTCTACAGCGAATGACAAGAAAAAAGTCTGTAGGGAGTCTAGTATAAGTATAGGTTTGGAGTTCGGAGCAACGTTGCAAAGCACGAACTTCAGAGGGGAAGACAGAAAAATAATAAAGAGAGGAAAAAAATAAGTGAGCACTAAAAAAGCAAGTGTTCCTTCAGGAGGCACTGCTGGCCTGTTAGTGTTTGCCGTGATGCACATGAAAGGAAGGGGGCGACTGTGTAACAGCGGGAACTAGTCGGGAAAGGTTGGAAAGAAGCTAGAGGCTCTCTGGGAATGGGGAACACAAAATGGGGAATCCCGAGAAAAACTGAAAGAAAGCAAAGACGAAGAGCGCTAGCGCCACACAACAATGGCGAGGGAGATAACGGCGAGTCCAAATTAAAGCAGAGCCGACGGTCCGAAAAAGCCCTGCGTTTTGGTCCGAAAGAATATTCTGGGGCGGGCTATCTTGACCAATATCAATTTCTTCGCACGACCATTGGGGGAGCCACATATACACATTTTGCCCGGGCTTTCTCAGTTTTTTCTATCCTGGTAGTGAGTTAACAGTGGCGGGTGCTGGCTTCGACGCTTGTTCCTCCGACCATTTAATATCCGACGAGAAAGATGATCCATGAGAGGTCGCTTCGTACGCAATGACGGTCGTACGGAGGAACTGGTGGGAAAACTGGCGGCGAAGGTTGCTTTTCGAACCATTTGCGCGTGACCTGACTGTTTTGTGTCATTACTCTGCAGGCGCAACTTTTCTCTTCACTGTGAGTCTTTCTCTCTTTTTCTCACCTCCTCCTCTTGTATTTTTCTTTCCATCAGCTTCCATTTCGAGACAAAGTAAAGGGCACAAGGAGCTCGCAGTGCTCTCATCTGGGTAGGTGGCGTGGCTTTGTCAGGCTACCCGCAACTGTGCTCTGGTAGTTATGACATTGTCATGAGTACGCATTGATTGTCTCGCCCGGCAAGTACGCTTGCCTGTGCATTAGCGTATAAGAAGTAGAAAAAAAGCTAATATTCACCTCTTTTGTATGTGCGAATGAAATGCCGCAAGATCTTCGCGAGAATGTTTTAACATGAATTTCTTTCCGTCTGCGTGCGTGAATGATTTTTGTAAGCTAGTCGTTAGAGTTCTAATATCCTTCCCAACCTCGTCTCCATGCATAACTTTCACCCTGACCTCTACGCAGACACTTGGTCGGACTGTGGCAGCTCCCAAACGGTATTGCATGTCACGCTGGAGTGCGCGGCAAAATTATTTCCTGCCCTTCCCTTCATTCTGTGCCCCTTCCGCACCAAAGAGCTGCGGGGCGATGCCCTCTGCGACGGGCCTCCCTGGGTCC